TGTTGGATTGGGTAAAATTGGGTTAAATTTAATTTTGATTGAATTGGGTTTGAACTTGAGTTTGGGTTTGGGTTAAAAAGGTGAATTAAATTTAAAATTAAATTAATTTATTACTGTTTTAATTTTTTGCGAGGATGAGGATCCCCATGGGTCCCACGGGGCGAGGAAAATTTCCCGTGAAATTTCGTGAGAAAATGCTCCCCATCCCCACCCCACGGGGAGGAATATTCCTCCCCGCCCAGTCCCCATGATGGGGATCCTTGCGGGGCCCCGTGGGGATCGGGGAAATTGCCATCTCTACCTCTCCGTGGAAGGTGCAATTTCAAAAGTGAATCTGAATATTATCGCTCGCAATGGAAATGTATCAAAATTCCAACATAATTTGAGATGTAGTGAACAATAGTTTGATTTAATTTTACCATGGACATAACATTTACTTATTATTATTATTATTATTTTGGTAAATAGTAAAAAAATATCATTAAATTGGAAGAAAAGACAAATAGTACTGCATTAATTAAATCAAAATATCTTAATAAGCCCAGGAAAATCACATTGCCAATCCTAAAGCCGAGCGGCCAAGCCCGTACCATGCTTTAGCTAGCCAAATCTTCCCATCAAATACAAAAGGCAATGACACACTAACCATATTACCACCCTTTACTCTCTCCACAAGTTGTGTCTTATAACTACACCACTGTGTTGTTTTTTAGAATTGACCCAAGAACTCCCATCACTGCAAAAACTAGTAGTGGACTAACATCCAAGGTACCAAAAATCGATGGAATGATGTTCCTAAATAGATTTAAAAAGGGATCACAAAGATCCTTAATAGTTGAAAATGGTTGTCTCTCTCATGGAACACTTGGGAACCAACTCAACAAAACCCTGACCATCACCAACCGACCATTTGGCTAAGCTGACTACCACCACTGTCAACGGCGTGTTTAAGTGCCCACTTTGCTGGCTTGGCATCACTGCAAAGAATAATGGGCCTGTGGTACATGATAGATTGCTTAGTAAAGATTGAATTGTAGCTAGCTCTCAGGGGTTGGGTTTCAAGGAGATTCAATGGGAAATTTTGAGAGCAAGTTTTTGTATTGCTTTAGCAAAGAGAATGGAAGCAAAGAGGCTTAGGGATAGAAGCACTCTAAGGGTATAAGTTGACTCATTGATTTGAGTTTGTGTTTAGGTATTTTTGACATTATGGATAATGGAGAAACAAAAGCTAGAGTGATGAACTTGAGTTTCTTGCTGTGGGGCATGGAGACGGAAGACAAAGGTTCATGGCAAGTGTAGAGATGTTTAATAGGGAGGGGAGGCATCATAAGATTTCTTGAAGGAAGGTGGATTAAGGCCTGGAGGAAACTGCTTTGACTGAACAATGCCATATTTTCTCCCTTGAAGTTTCTCAAGGAATAAAAACGGGTCAGTTTTTCAACAAGAATGACTAAGCCTGTAATAATAAAAAAAAAAGATTTAGAATGTTCAAATCAGTCTCAACTCTGATTACCAATGTGCAATTAAACAAAGTTAGCTCACGACAAAATTCTCTAAAAATAATCAAATCAATTACTAAGAAGCTTGTAATGAAATTCTTTGAGAATTAACAAGTCAATTACTAAACAAAGAAGGTATTTGTAACACTCTAGGAGTGATATAGTGGCCAAAGGATCTCCCAAATGAACTTATAGCTTTGAGACTGAAAGCTAAAACGTGCAACATGTTCTTCAATTAAATTTTCATAATCAAAATTTATTTTTTCATTATCATGCAACATGTAAAACTTAAATATTTTTTTATGATTGAAATGCTATCTTTGCTAAATTAATCTTCCTAGGAACTTGCTGTAAGTGTGTTGGTATTACAAGCGTTAAACAAAGTATTGTGAGGATTGAGGAAATAACCATATTATATTTTGATTTACACATCCATAATAGAAAGTAAATGCAAAATTTAAAAGATCCATATGCAAAAATTTAACAATTATAAGCAATTAGAAAAATAAAAATGCAAATGAAGACTTTGGTTCATGTAGCACCAGCCACCAAGTGGGCCTACAAATGAGGAAAAAATATTAAAGATGCATTATTGGCACATATGATTGCTTCCAAACCATCAATAGCTTCAAAACTTTACAAAATAAATTAAAAATGCAGAGACTCAATTTAATATGGAAAAGATGAAGATCAATTTAAAATTTTATTCAAAAAAAATAGTAGAGTTTCTTTGAAAGTGAACTGTCTCGTGAAATCTCAACAAAATAGTAATGCAACTTCTAAACTCCAAGATCCAAAACTAGCAAAAATGACCATTACTTAAGTATGTTTCATATACCAACAATCTATTTCGGCTTCTAGCATCAAGCTAAAACATAGAACTACACAAAAAATAACATCATGGAGTAATTAATTGTAGCCAACGAAAATGTTGACTAGATTTTTACAATTCTAAACCATAAATTTAGGCAAAATGCAATTTCAAAACTATGTGTAAGTAAAATGTAGACACTTAAGCCCAATGCTGGAAACAGAAAATCACCAAGAGCCCAATTTCCTTTAAGACTTAAGTCCTTTTGCTCTCCCCCTTTCTACCATTGCTGTTCTTGCAAAATCATCGAGAGCACAAGCTAGAAATTTCAGAGATTTTTGTCCTTTTTCTGCAACTGTCCCAAAGAAGAAGTACAAGAGGTTTTTTGTGGTTTTGAGTAGAGGGGGTGGTTGTTTTGGTTGTGATCGGCGAAGATGATGAGCTTAGAGAGATGATCGGTGAAGAAGGTCACCAGATGGGGTGAAAATTGGGGATCTTGAAAAGGGGGTGACGGTTGGAGAAAGAAAGATATTTTCTTAGTGTGACTGCCCACTTATCTGAATTCCCCACTCCCCTTTTTCTTTTTTCTTTTTTTTTTCTTTTTTAGGAGAAAATACTAATTTGGTTATTTAATTTTTAAATTTATATTAAAATTGTTTTTTAATTTTAAAAAATATTAAAATTATCTTTAAATTTTAATTTTTA